GCCAAAGGACTATTGGGAATCGTGATGTCTCTCTGCCTTAGTATATGCCCCTTCTTTTCACCCCTAAAACTAACTATCCTTTCTTCTCGAGTAGACTGCCTATGAATCTCAGGAAGGTGGAACCTTCATTTCAGGATACATTTTCAAAAAGAAACATTCTCTGATAGATGTTTGGTTACCTCAGCAAGAAAAGTGCAGACTGAAAAACGGTGGTATGCTCATCAGTCTGTGGTACGCCTCCGTTTATCTGCCGTCCGTTTCCTTTTTCCATAGCTGAACTCCAAAAGCTGTTGAATATGTCCTCGTAAAATGTGTAAACACGTCAGCCAAATGGGAAGAAGTGCTGATTAAATGATTTGGGACTTTTATGTGTTCATGAAGGTGGTCTTTACAAAGTCTGCAGATATCCAGTGGCAAGTAACAATTTTGTAGTCTAAGTAGCCAAGGTCCACATGCAAATTGATTGGGGCTAAGGGGATATGACTCTTGTGTTAGGTACCTTAATTTTGATGTGTGCAGGTCTTATTGTGTTAGCTTTGTGAAAAAGAAAACTATATATACAGTTTACGTCCCTGCTAATCAATAATTTTTCTAGTGAAGTGTTGAACAAAATGTCAAACCCACCTTGCTTTCTTAGACTGGTGTGCCCTATAAAGCTATATATTCTTCTAATGAAGCTTTTTGCGTGTAATCAGACTTATGTATTCTTGTAGTTTCCGTTGTCTCAGTATGTTCAGTAATCTTGACTCCTATGAGGTTACTCTCTTTCAACCTTTATCGTCGGTGGTGTTGCAACGGATATTGGTTCATATTTGTAAATACATTCAGTGATAATCTCATTTTAATTGTATTTTTCGTTGTTGTTTTTCAGCTCAAGGCTATTTTATTGGATCTTCGTGTCAGAGCAGACTGTTACGTGGCAAGCTCCAGTCTGTGTCAACTCCGAGTGCATGTGTGACCCCGGACTGGGGTTCTCACCTCAACACGAGGTTCGAGCATGCATGAGATAATATCTTTTCTGGTGCATATTCGGTAGCAAATGATGTAATTGAAAACGGTCTCTTTGTTTCCAATGATGGTAAATGATGCCACAAACCAAATCCAACCAGAACGTCACTACTACTGCAACAAAGAAGTTGTCTATCAATGAAAAGTGTCTCCACTTCATCATACCAGCTTCTAAATGCCAATTTAAAGGAAGTTATGCGTTTTTGTTTTTTGTTTCTTTTTCTTTTCTTTTTGATGAGTGTATAATCAAATCCAACAGAAGTGAAAGATATAGTCCAAACAGTCACCATTATGTTTGCAGAATGAGCTAATTCATGAGAGTTAGTCCCACAACAGGTGGTAAACTGCACAACAGGTGGTGTCGACATGCATGGGCAGTGACACTGGAGGGTCGATTTTATTTTATTAAGGAGACGAAAGGAGTCTTGTGAGGTTGTTTCGGTGTGATTATTTGCATTCAAAATTACAACGAAATTAAAATAGAGCGAGCAGCTTGTGTCGTCTTCTGAAAATATGCTTTTTCTGTGTATTTGTTTATTACGATTATCCTTGATGGGTGGACAAAAGTTGAAAATTGGCGGGCTACTTTTCAATGTAGAAAACTATTCCTTCATCATCAATTTTCAACCAGTCTTTAACTGACATTCATCTGACTTTCATTTTAAGTACCCTAATCCCCCATCTTGTGCATCATGTCGCCAGAAATATACAACATAACTAATTTGTTTTGCAGGTTGTACAGAGTACGGTCCTCATTACACTACAATACGTGGCTACTATATCGGCGGAAACAACATGGCTATCTACATCGGGGTGACTGAACAACAATGCATGGGACCACTGCACCAATCACGTCGCCTTTGTCTGCGTGTCAGCTGGATAGGCGTGCCTCCTGACGGGGAGATGTGACCTCACCACCCAAACTCTCCTGACTGTTGCCGCATCAGACTACAGAATAGATCGTACAATTATTGCCCACTTTTCCAGAGACTGCAAAGCCGTGATTCGACAATGTAAAACTACTCTCAGTTCCCTCTGTGATTGTTTAATTAAACCATTAATCAGGAGCAATAGTCAACACTTTGTAGCTGACGATACAAAATACTCTCAAAATACCCTCAAGTTCAAAACAAGCAAGGGCAGTGGGTACACTAGTGGTCAAAGCGTCTAGCTCGTCACGCCGAAGACCCGGGTTCAATTTCCACATGGGTACAATGTGTGAAGCCCATTTCTGGTGTCCCACGCCGCGAAAATGGTCGAATATTGCTAAAAGCGACGTAAAACCAAACTGACCACTCACTCCAAGCAAACATCGCAATACTATACAAGTCATTACTCGTGATAGGTCAACATGAAGAAACAATGACCCGCAGTCCCAATCCTGACGTGATCTGATCTGACAAGACCAGACCACACAGGCGGCTTACGTCCGTGTCTCGAGGTATTTTGTAAAAAGATTGAAATAACCATCACTACTCATGATCAGACGTTTTGTTATACCGAAATTCATTTCAAGTTTATGTGGACTTTCACCCAGTAACATGGAACTGTAAAGCGTTAGGGCACGACGTTTCTGCAACAAGTCAATACTCATCACCTGACAGGTCAACAGAGAGTAACAATATTCAAAGACAGTGAGCTCATGCAAATGTGGGGTTTAAATGGATTGCTGGATTAGCCTGTGAAATTAGAGGATGATTGTTTGAGATATACCAACGTTTTGTTGAACATTCCTTCGGACGACCACACGACCTTGACCTAATGCTCAGAGCCGTCATTAGTACTGGTTTTGCCTTTGCGAGTAGAAGTTGCTGATGCAGCTTTCACTTGTGGATTACCATCAATTTATGTCTTATGACTTTGTATAAATCTCTTTATGTCGGACTTTGTTTCTGTTTTTCAGTTAGTTTTAATAGTTCAGCAAATGTAGATTCACTTCTTCTGATGTTACCAGAATCAATATTCATAAATTCATCTTTTTGTCCTGTGCCTACTAGTTATATAGTTTCATTATATAGGCATTACTTTAATAGTTTCCAAGTTTATGCTAAAGAGTTATACTGCCTTATTACACTGAGGTTTGATGCACAAAATTTTATTCACTTTGTCATTATGCGGTGCCACTTTTGCTGAATACACTTATCCCAGTATTGTTCAGTGGATATATACTTGAATTAGAAATTATACTTTTTTGTACTATCAACGTGTCCATTTACGCTATGTAATAACTTGTCTATTTGCTCTTGAATTGTATCTTCAATGTATATTAGCTCCCATCTGATGCTGGTTGGCATTGTCTTATGAATACATTTACCTAAGTAATGGTCCTCGCTAATTTTGTATGCTGCACGATTACTCAGGTCTATGTTTGTGCGAAGTGTTACTAATAAGAAAACACTTTCATTGAATGACAGACCAACACTTCTATGTGCTCTCAAGTTTATAGCGGTCATAAGTACTTTTTCGGTTGTTCACTTGCATTCAAACCAAATGTATTTTTATTATGAACATTTATATTGAGCATAATGTTTCTCTATGACTAAATTTCCATTCATATCAGGAACTGTTGTCTGTAACTTTCTTCGCTGTATTAGCAATAATAGTTACCATAAACAAAACAGGATGGATATGTAACCAATCCCAACAAAATTAGAATAGATGTTTCTTCCACTAGAGTCCCCTCAAATATTTTTTCTCATTCAGAGGCCAGGGGATGCGCTTTGGATATAGCATGGTTCTGGTTCTGACACAACTATGTTCCTAATTCCCCTGGCATACAGTGTATATATAAAGTTCTGTTATTGTCCCCACACAGTCAATACTTTCTATGTAAATACATTACACCACCTTTGCCTTAATAATAGAGGTGGATCCTTTGTTCTCTTTAAATGTCTATATTTTAACATTTTCGTCTAATACAGAATTGTTGTAAGCAGATTATGAAATGTTAAAATGTTCGCAAACAAATTTGAAAATGAAAAATAATTTATGTTCCCCAAAACAGGATCAGTGGTAAACAAGCAAGCATATGATATTGAAGGCGAAGCAAATGCCCCGGTTATTTTACTTGGCCAGCCTGATGATCCTGGAAATGACAAACACAATTGGTATTAGGTAATTAACTAACTAGAACGGAGAAGGTCACCACAGCTTCCTGAAGATGACTAATTATATTTCTGGAGTTGTTGAGCATGGCTCAACCATACACGTATTAGTTTTACGGCAGACAAATTAGAATGCCTCTATTGTTGGACTGTATATCGAACTTCCATAAGGTAAGACATATGGGCTATTGATATACCTTCCACAGGGTAAGACATGGGGTATTGATCTACCTGATACGCTTTGCGCTGGTGGGCACACGTAATGATTTGCCAATTAGTGACTTGTTTGATACTGAACCAGCTTAGGGTTTCGTTACCACCTATTATTGTTTTGAATCCTGGCTTCTTGTGACATTCACTCTTGTACAGCATTGAGTTTTATATCCTTCGAGAACTCTAGGATATTTTACATGCTGTGATCCATTGATACAGCAGTAATGTCAATCATTGGATTGTCTGTTCAAGACTTAATCTTTCAGACTGCCCTATAGCTGGAACATTCCGGAGTGCGGCGTTAAAGGACAAACAAACCTAAAACTTAAATATCATACTGCCTTGGTCCTGAGTTTTCATAATACAAATACAGAATTCAGTGTCGATTTGTTTCCAATTAGATAACGCCATTATTCCTTTCCATATTATGTAGAGATATATTTTTGCTTAAGCATAATATGTATTGATATTTATTTCACTGTTGACTGCAGCAATAAATTAATGAATACAAACCAACAAAGCAAAGCAAATTCTGCCAACAGAAAAAATATAATTGCATATGTATATGTAGAATCAATTCTGACAACACTGCATGGTTCCTTGAGTCTGTAGACTGACGGGTAGTTGGTCATAACAACGGATCACTGTTCCATTTGTAGACCGTGGGAACACACTTCAGATTTATGCCACTAAACTTGATGTACAAATCATGGCGAAAACTGGCGTTTTCATCCTGGTTCTATTGCTGCGTGTTTCGAAAGATAGAATTCAAGCCATGCAAGAGTGCGAGAGTGTCAAAATCACTCGTGTTATGACGTTTGACAATCGGCTGTTTTCAAGATGGTTGTTGTGGACAAAATCATCAGTGAACAGAAATGAATGTGCCACCTTCTGTCTCCAAGAGAAAACCTGCGTTACCTTTCAAATGAAGGCAGAAGGACCAGTCTGTAGAGGCTACGCCGTCGCCTTTAACGGGAACTCCGCAAGTGAATCAGCCTCGGGATATATGTTGTATGAAACGGACAAAGGTAATTTATGTTATCGAATATATACCCCGTGTCCGCCTATCACTATGATATACGTTAGCTTGTGATTAAGATGTATGGGATCATCTCAGGTAAAATGTATTTCTTTTCGTAATGACTGAAGTGTTGGCTACTTAAAGTCTGTTGTTGAAGCAAGAGCACCACTTCTAAACCCAATCAGTGATTCTGAAAAGATCTTATGAAAACGTGGGACATTGAATTAGATATGAAAAAATTCATAACATTAACCCATCTGTCAGTATCATGCTTCCAAGATTGTCGGTACGAATTAACGATCCCATAATATGACTATATTGTACATGACATATGTACTGATTAAGCATTGGTTCCTGTAAATTGGTTCCTGTTTAAATCAATATTAAAACAATCCATCCATCCTTAAGTTTGTTGATATTGTGTGCTCAATACTTGTTGAATGAACGTATACGATGGAATAATGATAAGATGACGTTTGCATGTAAACTTTGAATTTCTTTGTTTTTCACGAATCCTGGTCAACACATTTTGTGTCTTCGATCCATGGCAGTATGTTGCCACGTATTCTGTTAAGAAGTAGGTGTTGATGCAGAACTTTATCAAAGGCTTTTGAGAAGTCAAGCAGTACCATATCCAACTGCTTCCTTTGGTCTACGCTCTGAACGAACAGAGCAACTGGGTTTCACAACAGCGGCGACTCCATGCTGTATCAAATAACATATCATAAAAGTCTAGGTTGGATATTATAGAGCTGTAAAGGGTGTGTTGTGCAAGCTTGGAGCATGTTCGACAAGCTTGGAGCAGATGAAAATAAGTTCATCTTGCCAGCAATTCTCTGCATGGTGGACACTTCAACGCCAACCACATCACTTTGCTGAACATGGCCTGGGTAGGCTCTACCTTCATATGATACCACGCACATTTTTGCAACTAGTTCAGAAGGATGAAGATTGGGATCAACTTCGTCAAGTACATCTGAGATGGTGCCTGGTTCTGATGTCCGGAGTATGTGCAGAACACTGTTGTTTGGGGATCAAAGCAAGCACACTGATGACTGCAGAAGCAGGACAGCTGTCTTGTTTTTATGCATCCCTTTACATCGGTAAATGCTTGATGGATCTTCATTGTATTTGGCACAGATTTAATCTCTGGAACAACTTCTGCTGTCAATTTCAGTTCAGATTCTCCTACATAGAAAAGTGTTACTGCAAAGCTTTCAGCTTCCAGAGAATGAAACATAGATTCTGGACCAGATATATTATGACCTCGATTAATCAGTGCATCAGAGGTTCTCTTGAGGATTGCGCCAACCCCATCTGGGACTTTTCCATGCACTGTTTCCCAAATGTTCCACGTCACATCATGAAATCCCATGTCAAACGGTACTGTAGAATCAAGAAAAAGTTTGTTCTGTTCCTATATTGTGTAGTTGGGTCATCACTCTGGAAGTGAATGTGGCTACCTCTTCATGGTGCATTTTTAGGTATCTTAAAGCAGGATCTAGGTACCTCCAAACAGCAACTGGATCATGGCGGAGTGAGTCTGATACCGTGCAGAATTGGGAGGAATGTGTCATGTGTATACAAGACACATGTGTGCAGGGTAACCTGCTGGTGGGAACCTCCAAAATGAGCTGACTGAACCTCAGTTGCGTACTTGCACATAAAATTCTCAGCAAAATCCATTGTCCTTGAAACCCTAACATGCACTGTACTGATGTCTTATATTGAAGATATGTCTGCAGAATCTGCCAAGCTGGAGATTTAGGGCATCCATAGCTTCATTTATAGTCCCTTCAATATTTACTTTTGTGGTCTTTTGAACCTTTTTCTCCTTCCCTTCACGGTCAGTGTAGTGAGCCTTCTCAGTTTTCCATTGAAACCAAACCATTGTTTCCACTGGAGAAATGTTGTCTGGTATTTGCAAGGATCGTGTCTTTCACAATGGGCAGTAATGCAGGCCTTGTCCTTATAATCACACGTGACAGACTGACACAGATGATATGTATCTTGCAGTGGCTCATCCATAACATTCATCAATACTAAGCCTTGGACAAGCAATTTCAGATTCTCATGGATTCTGCATAAACACATATCTCTATCCTTGGCAGTAGGAGCAACAATCCAGAAAGGTTTCAGTTTCCTGAAAGTTGATAGTGAAATTCTGTCAGAAGGGATCACAGATCTGAATTTTGTGTATAGTTTCTTTACACTGTCAAGGAGAAACTTCTTCTGTTTCTTTATCTTCTGTACCGTGATTGTTTCTTTTTTTCCCTGACGTCATTATACTATTGTCATGTCTTTTGTAGAAGCAGTGGACTTTCTCCATGAGAAAATCCTGAAGTCTCTTTCGCTTCATGTATTTTCTTTCAAGCCAGTTCTGGCGAGTTTTGAGTCATTGAAGCTGTTTTTCACTGAAAGAAAGTTCGTTTGCTGCTGCCCGACAAAGCGGTATTTCTTTAAAATACCACCTGATACAATTTTGCCTAGAACCCCTTTTTCTCTTTTGTTGCATTTCTCAAGTTTCTTGTTTAGTTATGCTACAATTCCATAAAGCTAAATTACATTTTTCTTCACTTTATCAGAAAACTTTGATTTTCCTACAAGACACTGTACTGTCTTCCTTGGGCTGACATCTGTACCATTCATTTCATTTGCTCTGAGCTGCCCTTTATTCAAAATTCTTTGTAGACGCTTTCTGTCAGTTTCTTTAGGTTTTGGAACTGAAATTTTACTTTTTGACAGCTCTCTGTATGCCTTTGCTCTGTATCTCCGTATCCTTTTCCGGCCAACTGTTCGTCTTCCATCTGCTCCTGAGTCACTTTCATTGCAGGCTGGGGATGCTAGTGGTGAATTCATTGAAAGAAATTGGTCCATTGCCTTCTGATGATATTTTCTCGCTTGATGACGATGATAGGCCTTTCTCCATTTTTTTCTCTGATTCTTCTTTTCATAGCTTGTCATTTCATCTATCATCTTTACTTTCTTTACTTCTTTCAGTTCATGACATCGTTTCCTTTCTTTTTCTTTATACTGGACAAATGTCTCAGGATTTTCCCTCAGGTTCTGTCCACATCTCCCCATTCTCTCCTTTGCTGTTAGTGCCATGTCTCAGAAGCAAATGGTCCATCCACAAATGCCACACAAATATCGGTCAAACTCTAAATCGTTCACATCAATATTTTCCCCATAAATATTGTCTGCACATTCCAGATGATATTGTTGTCTGCAAGCCCAACAAAAAAGCCATAAGGAACCATCACTGTCAGTAAGAACTGTTTTGTCTGTACATATAAGCTGCTCCTCTAACAGATCGCTGTTTATTGCTGACTTTTGACACTCGTAACACGTCCAAGAAATGTTTTCAATGTCACCCTCTGAATGCTGCAATCAAAAGAAATGATTAAACAATATCTAGTATGAAATATGTATAACACCGAAACAAATTTCAATCTGGGTGGTCATATTTTCAAAGTAACTCAACTCCGTCACAACGTAATGGAGTTGAGTAACGGAGTTGAGGACACTAGGATAAAATGGGAGATCACTCTGGTAAAACAAATGTTCAGTGTCTGTTTCAGCTTGATAGTGATTCTACATTACATGACCTTTTATCAAGTAAATAATGAGAGTGAGCAGAAATGAATTCTGAACGGAGTTGAGTGTGAATAACATACTGTACCTACCTCTGACATTGTACAACTTCAAAATTCTCATTAAAAGATGCAAGGTGTCTCTCCCGCCACCAAAAAGTTCTGTGACATCATTTCCTGTTTGCCTTGTGCTTCTTGACTTGAGAAGGCTCTAGTAGCTTCTTATGTAACGGCGTTGAGTGAAACATACGGGACACGCATTTTTTTTAATGTGTAATTGTGAAACCAAGTTATATATGATACATATAAGCGAATATATGTTTTGCCACGTCTATCCTTAGATGCTATGTGATACAAATGAGACTACAGTGGTCATAAATGTTCCACATTGTGCAACATTCTTGTGCACGGTCAGTGTGAGACAAGCAGAACTGAGCTAACACACATGCTTTTCACCCGATATTTTTCTTTAAGTTATCTTTGTTGAATTTAATTTAGACAATTGTTAGGTGTCATAAGTCCTATTTCCTTTGTAGAGTATGGCCCAAACCAAGAAAATATAATTACACCAATTTGGAGGTGGCATCTCTGCACTTGAGGCGACTAAGGGTTGTCTCTGACTTGGTCGATGCATGCAATCGTATCATCTGAATTGGCTGGTACAGACTATTTACAGGCCGCCAAGTAATTGTAACACTTGATATCAAAGGATGTAAAGCGACATTCAGTGAACAGATATATACTGGACAAAATAAGTTAGGAAAGTTGGTATTTTTATGACTGATATTTTATCAGAGTGTCAATGAATAAATAGATCATTATTCATAATTTCAAAAATCACATATATCCCTAACTATTTTTGTCGAGTATAATTCCGCCGTTAATTGATTAAAAGATTCAGAATTGGTCATGGTACTCGTTCCTATGTGAAACTCATATGACTTCCAGATTCTGATTAATTATCAGGAATCTACAGATTATCTAGAACCAACAAATGTACATTTGGAAAATACGGACACACACACGAACGCACGCACGCACGCACGCACACACACTATGGCAATGAACAGTCAACATAGGTGTTCCATCTTCTAACGTTTTTGCTTTCAGTGAAAGTGTTATATTAAACCCACCTCGTTTAATGATACCTGTGTGCCAATGAAGCCTGTATTTGTGTTAAACATCGTGTGCTTAATGAATATTTGTAATCCTACACGTAGTTCCCGTTAGATTAGATTCACGAATAACTTGTACTTATGTCTTACTAGGTAACCTGCAGTATTGTAAATAATATTGTTTGTTAGCTGTCGATTCAGACTTCGTTATCTCAAGCCTTCAGACGCTTTATGAAATAATGATTATATCGTTTATGCCCTCTGCACTGAAAAAGATATTGATTCAAAGGCAATCTCACTTTTAATGCTATTTTTCGGGCTGTTTTCAGCTCGCGGCTTTATCGGATCTTCGTGTCTGAACAACGCAGACTGTTACGTGGCAAGCTCCGTCTGTGTCAACTCCGAGTGCATGTGTGACCCTGGACTGGCATTCTCACCTCAACAAAAGGCTTGTGTTTCAAGTATGCATGAGATAAAATATTTTTTAATTTGTGAGACGCGCCATTGAAAATGGACGAATTTTCTGCAATTGTGTGTGTTAACGACCAAAAGTCCAAGTGAACTTACATGTATTTAAAAGGGGATGCCTTTTGGAGTTTTTTTCTTAATTAAATACCGTTATTCATCTATGAACTTAAGTTTCGAACGACCAAATGTCCAAGTGGGATTACGTTGGACTGCCATGAAGCTTTTTCACATGTTCAGCCCAAATCTACTTTCAGTATAATGACTTGAACAACGCAGTTTAAATGCTTTTTGACCCAGGAATGACAGGAACAAATGTGCTTTTAATAACCGTGTAGGCCCCATCTATCTAAAATATTACGTTATATCAGAAGTGAGGTGAGGTGAAATTGGGTTTAACGTCTTTCTTGAGAATATTTCGCTCATATGACGACGTGCATGCGTGTGTATGTGTATGTGCGGCTGATTGTACTAGCCCAGACTTAAGCTGGTTTTATAGTGCTAGCCCACTGTGAGACCATGCTGCAGTGAAGCATGAATACCCCTCTCAGACACATGATACTGACTCCGAGCCGACCAGTCCTTGTTGTACCCATTAATGCCGAGCGCCACGCAGGGACCAACAAGTACAATATTTAAACGTCTTTTGGTATGACGTGGTCAGGGATCGAACCCGCGACCTTCCGGTCTCTGGGCGGACTCTCTAGCCACTACACCACGGAGGCGGTCACGTTATATCAGAACCTACTTTCTTTTTCCAAAGATTAATCTTCATGGCTACCTTAAATCCGTATGGACGTATATGGGGTCAGTGTTGTATTTGGGTTCTGTGGCTTTGTGATAATAACCAACGTACTTAACAACCAACCCGTAAACTGAAGTTCAAGTTAGTAAAATCGAAAACACTTACAATTGCCTGTTCAGTGTCTTAAAGGACTGTTCTTTGCTAATTGAACATTGCTGGTGTCCCCGGTCGTGATATTGCTGGAATTTTACACAAAGCGGCCGTAAAACAACACTCACTCTTGCCAACGCCGTTCTTGTTTGCAATGTAATAGATGCCAAAAGAACTTGCCTTCCATTCCACATCTGTGCCATGCTAAAAATATATAGTAACGATCTGATTTGTTTGCAGCTTGTACGGACTACGGGGCTCATTACACTATAATACGTGGCTACTTTATAGAGGCAAACAACATGGCTACCTACAACGGGGTGACTGAACAACAGTGCATGAACCACTGCACCGCTCAAACCACCTTTGTCTGCCGGACAGCTGATAGGCAAGCCGATGACGGGAGATGTGACCTCACCAACCAAACACTCCTGACTGTTGACGCATCTCGCTACAGAATAGTAGAGGATCGTACAGCTATGACCCAATTTTCCAGAGATTGCAAAGCCTAATCCAACAAAGTCGACTCATCAAACTTTCGTCCATCACTTTTTCGTCAAAACAATGAATCACCAGCAAGGCAATTTGTACATGTGATTATTTTGGCTTTTATCCAAAGTTCGTAATTGACGATATCAGTTTACACTGTAAATACTCGAACCCCAACTATTGGAAAGATCTGAACATTTATGTCACTACTGAAGAGGCCACAGCCTGCAGTACACTAACAGTTTAACAGTTATGCATTACTAAAGTGGAATGGCTTTTGTCTGCGTAACACTACATACTAAATATACTTGGACAGGTTCTGCAGTATATCATGTCTTGTACTACCTACTGCTTAGGTTTCACTGTGACTACACTCGGGGTCCAAGCTCACATTGCAATCTTCATCTTCACTTCTCTTCTGTGAAGATCTTGGCAATTTTCTCAATTCTTTCTTCAATAATTAAATGCGGTGGGGTACCCTAGTGGTAAAAGCGTTGATTCAACACGTTCGATTCGCCACATAGATACAATGTGTGAAACACAATGTGTGTCCATATTGCTGGAATATTGCTAAAAGATGCATAAAATATTCACTTCTTTAATGCTTAAAACTTTCGTTTGATTACTCTGGGCATAGGAATAATCAAAACTCTTGGTGAGGTCAACATGCGAAAACAAGGATCCGATGGTCCAACCCCTTGGGTGATCTGACCAGACCAGGTGGCCTTGGTCCGTCCTGACAACCTCTTGGACCGAGTTTGTTTTTCTAGTCCATTCGGGAAGAGAATTTTATGGATGTTAACTTCTTTATAATGAGGAAAACCGTTTAGTAGTATACACTTACTCCTTCAAGCGAATTACAATTTTATTTGTGTCAGCTTCTTCTCCTTCTTCTTCTTTTCTTCTTCATGAAGGAGTAGGTATATTTCGTTCCCCATAAAAAAGAAGTTCCTGTCTGTAAATAATCGAGTCTGGACCAGACAATCCAGTGATCAACAGCACGAGCATCGATCTACGCAATTGGGATGCAATGATATGTGTCAACCAAGTCAGCGAGCCTGACCACTCCATCCCGTAAGTCGCATTTTACGACAAGCACGGGTTACTGAAGATCATCTTCTTCACGGGTCCATAATAAAGAAGTTCACATCAGTAAAATCCTCATTCGTATGCATATCACTTCTAAATGCCCTTTAAAGGCCCAGTAATCATTCGTTTTCTAATACCGAAATTCACGCCCACGTTTATGGGGCGTTAGGGTAACTGGTTGCTAAACCATTCGTGTGAAGCCTATTTCTGGTGTCCCCTGTCGGAATATTGCTGGAATGTTGCTAAAAGCGGCAAATAAATCCAAATACACTCAAGTTTATGAAAATCTTTCAAATATTCAGCCATCGTTTGATTCATTGCAAAGGTGATAACCACGACATGTTAGTATCTGACCAGTGACGGTGGGTAACCTAGTGGTTGAGGTGTGTCCTCGTCATGTCGAAGACCTGGGTTCGATTCCCATACTGCAAATTTCTGGTGTTCCCAGTTGAGATAGTGCTGGAATATTGCTAAATGCATACTAACTCACTAACTCATTAATGCCTGACGACATCGTATGTTCCAACCGTGAGTGACCCGTGAAGATCTGGGGTAGTATAGGTCTTCAGCAACCCATGCTTGCCACAAAGGCGACTATGCTTGTCGTAAGAGGCGACTACCGGGATCAGGTGTTCAGGCTCGGTGACTTGGTTGACACATGTCATCGGTTCCCATTTGCGCAGATCGATGCTCGTGCTGTTGATCGCTGGATTGTTTGGTCCAGACTCGATTATTTACAGACCGCCGCCATATAGCTGGAATATTGCTGAGTGCGGCGTAAAACCCACTCATTCACTCCAACAGTGAGTCATTACTCATCATGTGACAGGTCAATATTCCAGGAGAACTTCTATCAGGTGATGATGTCGTCACCTGATACAGACTAAATAATGCATTTGGAAGATTCTTGTTGAGATTATAGCAGTGTTTTGTAAAAGCATATGTGCTAGACGATCACACGACCTTGACCTACCACTGTCTTCGTCATGGCAGAGCTTGTCACTTTTCATGATTCCATTTATGTCAGATGTTGTTCGTGTTTTTCATTGACTCTTAATAACTTCAGCAAACGTAGATTCACTTACTCGGATGTAACCAGTACCATTATCCATGAATGCATCTTTGACCAGAATGTACATATACGCACTAGCAACATAATATAAGTAGTCAAAGTCAAGTCAAAGATATTTATTGTAAATTTAGGCCTCCGGCCCATATACAAGTAATACAAGTACATATACAGCACATGTTACATACATTTTACGAAGAAATTACAGTTCAGATAAGATATTGCTTCTAAGGAAAACAGCATGTTTTACATAAAGCGCAAGATTACGTATTACATTTTCATTTTGGAAGATAGAATGGAAGCAAAAGCAGATTTAGGATATTTTAACAGGTAATTATTTGGGATATATTTCTTTCTTTAAATCAGCATAATGTGGGCATACAAAAGCGAAGTGAATTTCATCTTCTATAGCCGAGTTACATAATGGACATATCCTTAAACGTCTCTCTATTGAAAATCGTCTGCCCTTATTTACTGATAAGTCTAACAAGCCCAATCGAAAATTGACAAGTGTGCGTCTGATATTTCTAGATGTCAATACAGATAGATATAGTTCTGGTTGAATTAAGCTCTTATGTGATCTGTACAACTGGTATCTTGAACTATTGTCTAGACAGGAATGCCATTCTTGATAATACATGTTAACAGATTGTTCTCGAAATTGCTTAAGAAATAGATTGATATTACCAACTGTTTGATTTAGCCACACAAATCCAAAGCCATGTGAAAATAAAAGAGTTCTAATATGAGACGCCCATGTTGTCTTACCCCTATCATCTAAATGTACAGGCATGTTATAAGCTAGTTTGGGGATTCTTTGTTCGTGCATTCCAAGGATCTTTAATCAATATTTTAAACATCTGATTTGTGAATTTATATATATCGGATATCTACCACATTCTCCATAAACCATACAAGTTGGTGCTGCTTGCGCTACATTTAAAAACCTTTTACATGCTAAAAGGTGTAGTTTCTCTAGACATTCATGACGTTGATATCCCCAAATTTCAGACCCATAAAGCATAATCGGTTGGATTTGTGCATCAAACAATTTAAAATATATTTTCGGGGTTAAAATTCCAAAATTCTGGGAAACGGACATAACGTTAATGAGAGCCTTCTTAGCACGTGATGTCAGGTCTATAACACTCTTTTTAAAGTTCATGGTATGGGAAAACAATAGCCCGAGGTAGGTATACTGATTAACAATAGATACATTTTTGCCACTCAAGAACCATTTTTCTTTAGAGGCGACAGGCCCACCTCTTCTAAAGATAACTATGTTTGTTTTTTCAAAATTAACAAATAATTTCCATTCATTTGTATAACGTTCCAAAATATTCAGTTGGTTTCGTGTAGACCGACGATAGTATCTGACACTAAAATTACATCATCGGCAAAAGGAGGATAAAAATTTCAATCATATCTGGAAACATTTGCACACCATGTTTACCTGCATTAGAAATATCATAATACAGTTCGCTTATAAAGAATGAAAACAATACAGGGCTTAAAATACACCCTTGCCGAACTCCCATGGGACAGTCGAAAAATCAGTGAGATCATCACCACAACGAACACATGATTTAATATTCAAGTACATAGATTTTAAAATAGAATACATTTTCCCTTGTAAACCAGACTTCCGTAAGCAGTGCCATAATTTACAACGATCCACAGAGTCAAAAGCTTTCTTAAAGTCAACAAATGCTACATAAAGTTTGTGTTTATTACGTGATAGACACTTTTGTATTATTGCATATAGTGTAAAGATATGGTCAGTAGTTGAATAATCTTTTCTAAAAGCTGCCTGACATTCAGGAATTAAGTTTCTTAGATTTGACCAGTTTGAGATTCTGTTGTTTAAAACAGTTGTAAATATTTTCCCAATAACACTCATTAAAGATATGCCTCTGTAATTATCTGGATTTTCTTGAGCCCTTTTTATGTATAGGGACGATAATTGAACGAGACCAGCTTTCTGGAAACGAACCACTTTCAAATACAGTATTAAAACACTTATGGAGGAAGGGCATTAACTCGATTTGAGAACATTTAATCATTTCGATTATAATATTGTCGGGACCAGCTGCTTTTCCGCTCTCTAAGTTATTTATAGCATTCTTTATCTCATCTACTGAAATTTGTGTTTCCAAAATCATTTGATCAACAGTGTCATAGTCATTCGAAGAGATAATATCATCGTCGAAGGAATAACCATCGCTTGAAAAACAGCATCATTAGAAAAACTGTCTTGAAATGTGTCATCCATTCACATTTTGAAATATTACTTTTAGGATTTGTTCTCTTTCTAAATGAACGAATTTGTTTCCAGAACATAGCAGGATTGTGAATAGAATCATTCAATCTGTTCAATCTTTGATTACGGAGGTTAGATTTGAATTTTCTACATGAAGCTTTGTATTTGTTTCTCATTTTACAAAAATAATTTCTGTTTCTCTCTGAGCGTCTACACCGAAAACTTCTAAGTGCTTTGCGCGCGTCTCGTCGCGCAGATTTACCTCGTCACTTAAGGGTGTTTTATAGTTTTGCTTAAACGGCTTAGTCTTTTTTCTTCATACAATCTGCTGAATTTAATATGACATGGACAAATTCATCTAAAGCTCCGTTTAGATCGAACTCAAGTTTCGATAAGAGACGGTCGTTATAAAATGAAGTCTTACTTTTCAAGTTATCTAAAAATATTTCGCAACAGGCGTCGTTCCAAACAATCTTTTCTTTATAATCATCAATATGGTTTGTATCACTTGAGTTTTTCATATTTGGAAATTGACATGTCAGTTCTAATGGTAAATGATCAGAGTCTACTCTGTCTCCAATATTCAACAAGTTAATAAATTGGAA